GCTGTCTGGTGAGGACCGGCGGACAGTGTGTGGTCCACGTGTGGGTTCTGTGGGCCTTTCTTCCCCTTCACTCCATGAATCCCAAGGTCACTGCACTCACAGATACCGCGCACATGATGCAGGTTTAGAAAGCCCCTCTCTGCTTAGTTTCCTAGGTGTGCTGAGCATGTTGCAGGAGACCCAAGTGCTCACTAAGAGGAGGGGCTGCTGTTGGTGGATTGTCACCTTTCCTGTTTTTGTGAACGTTTACTGAGAGACCCCTATTTGCCAGCCTGTAGACTCTGGTCTTTTTCAGGAAGAACCTTTAACCTCCAATAACCTATGTAGCAGTCACCACTCCAGGCCACTGCCTTGGGACTCTAACCAGAATTCACACACCCAAAACCCTCCTGGGACTTGGGATAACTGCACAAAATAATGTGTCCTTTACTACCTGTTATCAATGAAAAGGGCAGCGAGTGGCTGAAAAATAACATGTAACACAGCGGTTCTCAACTTGTGAATCGGGGTTCTCAACTTGTGGATCGGGACCCCTTTCACAGGGGTCGCCTAAGACCATCGGAAAATACATATGGTCTTAGGAACCGAGACAACACTCCTCTATCCATCTCCAGACAGGTCCGCCCACATGCAGATACGCCACATGCAAGTACCCGGTGTGAATACTGTTACCCATGCTGCACCATGCTTCAAGACAAAATTTCATTTATTTGTCATTAGAAATAAATATTTCACAATATGTAATTATTTTGTAATTAATCACTGTGCTTTAATTATTTTCAATTTGTCACAATGAAAATATATCCTGCATACCAGATATTTACTTGATGATTCATAACAGTAGCAAAATTACAGTCATGAAGTAGCAAGGAGAATAATTTTATGGGTGGGGGTCACCACGACACGAGAAACTATTAAAGGGTCGCATCACTAGGAAGGTTGAGAACCACCTTAAACTCTTGGCAGTCACTGAAACGGTAGAATCATTATCCAACAAAGAGCCTCTCTTTGTGCTGGGCCTGGTCCTAAGTATCGTCCCATTAATCTTCACAACCTCCCTAAGGACAGGTAGCTTTACCAGTAACCCCAGTAACCACACTCCCTGCCATCGAGTTGATTTTTTAAATTATTAATCATTTTATTGGGGGCTCTTACAAATCTGACAATCCATCATTCAAATGTATTAAGCATACTTGTACATATATTGCTGTCAACATTTCCAAAACATTTTCTTTACTTGAACCCTTGGTATCCGCTCCTCTTTTTCCCCCTCCCTCCCACTCTTGTGAATCCTTGATCGATTATATATTATTAATGTTATTTTGTGTCTTACACTGTCCGTTGTCTTCCTTCACCCATGTTTCTGTTACTCGTCCCCCTAGGGGGGTATATATCCAACCTTATGAAGGGGCCCCCTTTTTCACACACACACCCCCCATCGACTTGATTTGATGCCGACTGCTAGCCACCCTATGAGGGCAGAGTAGAACTGCCCTGTGGTTGCTGAGACGAAATCTGTAACAGAAGTAAAGAGCCTCATCTTTCTCCTGGAGTGACTGATGGTTTTAAACTGTTGGCCTTGCAATTATCAACCCAACTCGGACTCTGAGTGCTACTTAAAGGCACAAGGAGGTTAAATCACCAAGCCTTGAGGTTAACAGCTAGCAATAGCAGAATGCCAGGTATTTCAGCCTCATATTAATGAGTTTTGTGCAATTAGCCTATCAGGGGTTTTGCTGTGTGAACCCTGGTTAGGTGCCAAGGCATTGGACTGGCCCCAAGTCCACAGATGGGCGAGTACCAAGAGCACGTCGGTTCTGTCCACGTGATAGCACTGATTCACGTTGGGTCTTTCCCTGGAAATCTCTGCTTTCAGATACAGCTTTCCCGCCAAGTGCACACATCACACCACCTGGTCCCCATCCGCTTGTGTCAGTGGGCAGAAGGTTGAGGGAATTCAGTTGTCCATACTTTAAAGGAATGACTTCAGTTAGATAGCCAGCGACTTCTCTCCCAAGCTACGTGAGGGTTCGCTGACGGGATCAGGATGGTAGCGTTCCCACAAGAGAGTCATTTGGACACGGAGAGGTCAGGAAGAGCTTTCTCAACAGGGCAAATCCCCGTCCCCCTGAAGCTCTCAGGCTGCTCAGTGTTCTGCCCACAGCATGCCATGGGCCGTGCTTTCCCCACGTGCCTGTGATGACAGCCTGATTAACTGTCAGGTGAGTGGCTGAGCGAGTGGGGATTTCAATGGGCTTCTGAACTCTCCGTTCGCTGTGGAAGGAAAACTGCAGGGTCAGTGAGCTGCAGCCTGACAGCACCAGCCCTCTGAACCCATGACACAGGCCCCTGTCCTCTGGACATGGCAGCCGGCAGGCCTGGGGGCTCTTTCCACCTTGGGAGCAGGGTTCCCGCTGACCTGGCTTCACTTCTACCATGTTGCGTGCATGTGCGCGTACACACACACGCACACACACACCCCACCACCACCACCACCACCCAGCAGCTCAGGGGCACATCACTCCGCCCTCTGCTTCTCACTTGGCGCCAGAGACTTGTCTAAGGTTGGCCATGATTTGTGTGTACCGGTCTGGAAAGTGCACATGTGGTTAGTAAACATCTGTTAAGGGCTGCTGTAGCCTGGGCATGTTTTTGCAAACAAAACAGAAAAACGTGCTGAGTGGGAAGAAAGGTAAAAAGTAGTAAGGAGCGTGGGGGAGATTGTACTGAGGGAGGGAGAGGGTGGAGTGACTGGGAGGGTGGTCGAGCCAGACGCCCTCCATGAGGAGGGGAGATAAGGAAGGGTGCATGGGTGGGTGTGGGGTGGTGCCCTGACTGGGGCTCAGGAAGGTGGTGCAGAGGTGGCTGTGGGACAGGTCTTCCACCCTACCCTCCACCCCCCAGAGCAGAGGGAGCACCAGCAGTGGCTACAGCTGAGGCTGAGAGCACCCCAGGTTCTAGTTCCTTTTTTCCTTTACCTACTTAATACAAAAGACTTCCCCAAACTGCCCCACCGTGATGTGGGCCTGGACGTGTGCTTTCGCCTCCCTTTGCTTGCAGCCTGCCCAAACCCACCCCAGAAGAGAATATACCCTACTGAGTACTGACGGTGGGGGCAGCCCTTTGAGGTGTGAGGAAGCCACGCAAGCATCTGGAATCCCTCTGTGACCACCGGGATTCCTGTCTTTGAAGCCCTGGCCCTAGGGCTCTGGCTAGCACTCTGACTGGGGCGCCTGGGCCCGGCTCAAACAGCCTGTGAATGGCTGAAATGGTCCAAAGGTGGGTGTTGGCTGCCCCTCAGAGTCCTATTTGAGATGATGAGTCATTTGTCAAGACCTCACTGCAGCTTGTTGGGAGGGGGAGTCCCTGTGGCAGGTGGGGTTCATTATTGGCAAATGAAGTGCAAGGGAATAACTGCCACCTGTCACAATGGCGGCCGGGAGAGTCCGTTAGAAAACTGATCAGGAGCATTCAGAAACATCTTGGGAAATAGAGCCTGAATGTGAGAGGTGAGTGGCCTCTGTAGCTTTTCTGCCTTGCTTACTGCTTGAGCAGCTTCTTCGGTGGCTGTGTTTTGTTTTTTCCACCGTTAGGATGTATCCTTTGCCTGGGTGTGCCTGGTGGAGGTGAGTCTGTTCAGGAACACCAGAGAACTATCGATTTGAAGAGATTTAGACATGTACTTAATTTAATCCTCTGCCATTGTCAAGTCTGAGTGTTGCTTAGGAAATTCTCAATTTTTTCAAAACAAATTTCTCTATGGTAGGAAGCTTGAAACCTCGTATTACGCATAACTACCTTAAGCTTGGGAAGTTCACCATATGTCTGACTCATAGCCACACTAGTGCAATATAAGTGCATTTCTCCTTTGTCTAAGAGTGGAAAGCCACCCAACATTCCACTCTCACAGCCCTTCGTGACTTGAAGTTGATGGTCATAAGGTCACTCCGAGCCTCCTGTCCTCTGGACAAAATCCTAATGCCCTTCATTACCTGATCTTCCAAGTTCCTGTTTCCCGCCCCTGTGGTCATCTCTTGATCTTCTCTCAGCTTTCTATCCTGTAAATGTGGACTCCAGGTTGGAACAGGGTCTTCGAACGAGTATCTTCATCAACCCCTGGGATGGTACTGCTCTCTGGCTGTCGGGTGTCACTGTCATTCTTATGGAAAACTGTGTGATTTGATCATTATCCAGAAATACAAACGAAGGACAGACACATTCTCTTACATAAGGCCTGGGCCTTGGTGTATGGCCCCCGTTGCTTGCTGCAGGGTGGGGAGCCATTAGGATGCCCAGCTCCAGGTCTGTTCTAAGAAGTAGTAGGAAGCCCACCTCCCCGGGCTGAGTTTGGTGGTCCCTGCTGTGGTGGAGGAAGCCAGTCCCACGTGTGGTCCCCCTTTGGCAGCACTCGTGGCTGAGGGTCTACTTGTGGGGTGTGTTTCTAAATCACATGGGGTGCACTTGGAAGCCTGTGGGCTCTTGGCCTGCCTCACTCAGCCCACTTGCTGTAGACCCGACATCACTCACTGCTGCTGGTTTGAAGACTTGGGGTGCATCGTGTCGTTAAGATGGTCCTGGTGGTGCGCATCTTGCTGGTGTCGCTCTCCCTGCCTCTACCCTGTTTGCCCTACACACCAGGGTAGGAGTGCTCCTGGCATGATGGGCTCGGATCCCTGGTCATGGAGTTTGGCATCCTGGCATGATGGAGGACTTTCAAGGCTCATTTCAACAGCTCCTGGTGGCCAAGCCATGCCTGGCTCTGGCATTCTCATCGTCACCTCCTTTGCCAACTCCTGCATGAAGCAGCTGTTCTGGCATCAGCCTGGGCCAGCCTGGTGACCTCGGGCAGGTGCAGGCTGGAGGGTGTGCCAGAGGCTGGAGCCCAGCAATTGTACGTCAAGCCTGAGTTTGCATCACTGCCACAGACCACAGGATGTGTGAGGCCAAGAGAGTCACTGCTGGTGACAGTGTTCTTTTTTCACTCTCGCCAGATAGCTGGCCTCAATAATCAGTGACCTGCCAAGTGGTCATTCTTCTGGAACTTAGAGAGACATCATCTATATTTCACATTGCAGGATAACTGAGGCCAGGTCTGGGATATTGGGTGAGGATGACTTGGGGTCATTCTACATAAAGGGCCAGCTGGTTTCACAAAAGTCACAGTTTGGGAAGTCCACCCATTCGCCTGAGCAATTGCTAAGTTCCAGAAGGGTGCATTTCCACGGGCCCCACACTCGCATTCTTCAAAGCCAGCGGCATTGTTTCCGGTTCTCTTCTGATTCATCACCGGGGTGTGTGTGCACAGGGCAGACACATTTAAGACATTAACAGGCTTTCTCTCTGTAGTTTCATAAGACTCGGACTGCCAGTAGGCTTAGTGACTGACGCCCACCCAAGTTGACCAGCTTGCACAAGGGGATTTTTCCTGGAATACTCTTTCCAGAAAGCTACAGCTCCGGGGTCGTCTTGTAGCAGAAGTGGAACAGGCCCTGATGTCTCTCTTCTTTGCTGCCAACATGTGTCCTGTACCGCTGAGCAGTGACTGCCCGCTGAACTGAGATCCTGGGTGCTGCTCGGAGACGCCGCTGAGCCTGCAGGCAAGCGGGCACGGCTGCTCCTCACTGCTCTCTCCTTTCCCTCAGTCCAACAGGCAGCCAGCTAAACTGAACCTGCTCACCTGCCAGGTGAAACCCAACGCCGAGGACAAGAAGTCTTTTGACCTGATATCACGTGAGTCCTCTCTGTCTCTCAGAGCCAGCTACTGCGGGGTCTGCCCCCTGCACATGGCTGTACTCTGGCCGTCAGAGCCCTAGCCTTGCCCAGCAGGGCTCCTCGGAGCGGGCACCTGAACACCTACATCATCCTTGGCTTCTGGGGAGGTACGGGGGTACTCCTCATTAGCACTGAACCTGCCTAAAGGGGAAAGGCTTAGTGGGGTCAGATTTAACCAGTATTCAAATAGACTGAACCTACCCAGCTCTTGACCATGGGCACATAGAGTTCTAGAAGTACACTCCCACTTCTCTCTCAGGTCTGAGGAATCAGTCTTCGGTGTGAAGTGCAGGCTTGAGTGCTTCTGCCTTCTTCTTATTATTATTATTATTGCTCATGTGGTTCCAATGTGCACCTATGGTTAAGAAGCACAAACCTAGCCCTGGGAGTACAAGTGTGCCCCTCTGTGGGTCCCCCTCATGTGCAGGGTTACCACCCTGCAAGTGTGGGCTCTCCCAGGGAAGGTCATCCCCCAGTCTCTAGGCTGCTGCCCTCAGACTGCCTAGACCAGTGACATCCTGCTGCTGCACTCTGGCTCCTGGTCAGGGCCGGCTTCCCTGTGAAGAGAGAGTGTGATGGCCCCAGCATATAGCTATATCCTGCCCAAGCTGCTCACCCATGTTTGCCCTGCTCCCCAGCAGGCACCTGTTGGCCACTCTGGACACCTCTTTGTCAGGGGGTGGGTGACGATCCAATGACTCTCCCAAGGGCAAAACCCCTTCATCCAACCCAGTCTGCAGGCCAGCAGCTCAAGTGCCCGCTCTGTGCGGAGAGACACCGAAACACCCTCATGCCCGGGGACCCACCTACGGCAGCAAGAGACGCAAAGCCCAGTAGAAGTCCCGGCCGGCCCGGGAGATGCAATCAGTGAGATTCCTGGGGCAGAGTCTCTGCTGGATTCTGCAGCGTTGAAACAAGTTCACTTCACCAGCTTTCCCAACCAAGAGATTTCCTGGGTGGGAAAAAGAAGGAAATAGGAACGTGTGGAATCACAGCATGAACCCCCACAGCCAAGAGCCCATGGTTGTGAGAGCCTTCCTGCTACAGTGATGGTTGTCTGTTATCAACAGGGCTTTGAAGTGCTTCGGTCATGGCCCACGAAGCAAACCTGGCATGGGAAGCTCCAGAGAGGTGCAGTGAGCCCTTGAGGAGCTACTGCTGGAGATGATTGCCAGTACTGTGTTTTGCCAGACACTTGTTCAAAGCGGCAAGATTGGCCACCATCTCTGAGCCAGGCACTGCTGTTTCCACTGCACAAGAGATGCTATGCAGCACACAGCCTGCTTGTGTTTTCTAAGAGAGAGACTGTGTTTCTAGCCTAGCCTTGACCACTAAATTTTGTGTTCTGGTATCAATCCATTGGCCATGACTGAACCATGCTGAGCCCCTTTGAAACCTTGGCTGTTGAGCATGCCTGGTGCTTTCTGTAACTGGTACTGAAAAAGCCTAGCTACTGTCTTTGCACTGACTCTGACTCATCTTATGGAATAGCAGGCCTGCTCCCCTTGGCTTCCAAGTCTGTGAGTCTTTACAGGTATACACAGCCTCTTCTTTCTCCCTCACACCAGCGAGTGGATGTGAACTACTGACCTCAAGGTTAGCAGCTCTGAGTAACCCAACCTCCTACAGTTGACACTAGTCCTCAAATGCACTATCAGCTTTCTGTCTTATGCAGAAGAGAAAGCAAGCTCAGAGTGACTGAAGCCAGGTCACACCATGATAAGCAGGGATTGAAACCAAGACCCAAGTTCTGCTGCCCACACAGCCCTATGACGGTCCCTCTGGCGCTTAGGGAGACGAGGGTGTGCCCGTGCCTGGGCTACAGCACCGCGTCCTGAGTGCTCAGTGCACAATAGTTGGCCCCACCTTGAGAATGCTTTCTAGCTGCTTTCCTTTGACAGTAAAAGCGGGACCCTATATAAGGCAGAAGCCTGTCAGAGAAGGAAAAGAAACTTTTCCCGCTGCAACAAACACTAGAACAGGGGTAACATTTCACCCTGTCACAGACAACAAGCTTTCAAAGCTCGAGAAAACGAGGAGCTCCCATGAGGTCCAGCTCCCAGGAGTGTTACTGCACACACCTGTCCAGCGTATCCCTCCCTTAGCAGGCCACCCCCCTCGAGGTCCCCAGAGTTCAGCTCTGGGGCAGAGCAAGCACTCAGTCTCAGAGGAACTGAATTATCTAGAAGGAAACACCGAAAGAAGAAAGAAAGAAACCAAATGACTGCCATTGAATCCATTCTGGCGCAGGATGACCCCATAAGACTGGGTAGAACAGCCCCTGTGGCTTCTGAGACTGACTGCACAGGAGTAGAAAGCCCCGTCTTTCCCCTGCGGAGCTGCTAGGGGTTTCAAATTGCTAACCCTGTAGTTAGCAGCCCAATGCGTAACCCACGATGCCGACAACCTGGTGCAAAAATGAGATAATGCTAAATTCTTTTTACCGGCTGATTTTTTGTTTGCTTAACACTAGAAGGTGCTCTGCTTCATCAGGCCTCACTCTTCCTTCTCTCATGTTTTAGATAATAGGACATACCACTTTCAGGCGGAAGATGAGCAGGATTACGTTGCGTAAGTAGTTTAGAAAGAACGGCCAGGGTCTTCAAAAGCTCCCCTCTGGGCTCTTGCATGCCTTCCACTTTGTGACTGGCCACAACTGCTGGAGCTCTGCTTGACTCCCCTCCCCCGTCCCCCACCTCCACCAGGTTGTTAGCTCTTGTCTGCAGCAGCCCGGTGCTCCCCACACCATTGTGCCCAAGCGTGTCGCCCAGGGAGAGTGGGGTTATTGCTCCCTCCCGTGGGCTCCACAGCCTCTCTCATTCCTGCTTCTCTAGGTCAGGACTGGAGGCCAGGAGTCTCTAGGGCACATCCTGTCCTGTGCTCTCCTCAGCCTTGTAATCACTGTTGGCTTCATGGCAGGCACTTACTCGGTGTCCTCCAGCCAGATCCCGGAGCCAATCCAACTGAGGACCTGGTGGTTATGGTGAGAGAGAGGGGTCCCCATGTGGTCCCACAGGGATTACCTAACGCCCAACTGCTGATCGCAAGAGTGGCAGTTCAACTGCACCCAGGACACCTTAACTCCCCAAAGTGAGCTATTGGAGACTGGAACCCGCTTCCTCGCTGACACCCTTTGCACCACCAGTTGGGATCAAGTCAGCAGCACCAGCTTTTGGGAGAAGAACAGGAGAACTGGCCTCTAGGGGAAGAACACTGGCAAATACCTTTTCCTGGGATGCCTACACTCCGAGGGACCCAGGGGTAGTGGGAAGAACCAGGTTTGGTGTCATACACCCTGGGGGTTGAAACCTGGCATTCACCTGCTCAAGTGTGCCCTCTTTTGCAGCAATGCCCCCACCTTTTTTTTAAACAGTAACTCTGGTTCTGTGCCATCGCCCCCCACCCACCCCCCTTCCTTGCTGCAGCCCCCAGGACTGGGAGAGAGAGGTTGTGGGTACTATATCTGTTTTGAAATGTAACCACGCCACTAGGCCACCCAAGAACGGTTTTCTCCTTCCCGTGTTTCCTGGTTATCGTGAGGCACTTAGGAAGGCTTCTCTTTGTTCTGAGCTGTTGGGGACCCTGGGAAGGGGGGTTGAGCCTGGCATGTATGTCGCCAGCTCTGACACCAGTCCAGATGTGAGTAGGACCTTGGGCAGGTCATTTAACTTCTGTGAACTTTGGTCTTCTCGTCTCCCAAATGCTCAGAGATCAGCAGCTTAGATAGAAGCTTGTTAGAGAGTCCTGTCTCAGTGAGCGTTGTAAGTCAGCAACAAGCACTTGGTACTAGAATGCTAGTCAGGGTGGGCATGGTGTGCGCCCTCGCGCTGATTTCAGCGTTGAGTCAAAATGTCTTAATGCCTGAGGAAAGCCGGGACTCTGAACAACCTGCTCGCTGATCAAGATGTTCAGTGACCCCGTGAGTTCCTGCAGTTGTTCCAACTTAAGGCTAAATAATAGGAAAACCCCATTTGCTTGGAAAAGTCATTAAAGACCTTCACTCCTAGACGGTTGGTTTTGAGGTGTTGCATCTTCTGCGTCACACAGAACAAAAGTTGTGCAGGGACCTCCCACCTACCAGAGGCAGCGCTACCTGGAGTCTGAGGGATGCCTCCGAGCTCGTAGGTTTGCCTGTCGCTGTTTCTTGCCGAAAGCCCGTTGTTGATGGTGCTTGGTTTCACATCCATTTCCCTCCTCCAGAGCACCCAAACATAAAAGACTGGGTTCTGGGCTTCAGCAGCATCTGTTTGCAGTCGGTGTGAGCCGTCTGAGAGACCCAAAGTATCTGAGAACCGAGGGTGGTTTGTAATGCCTGTCCATTTGCCTTTCCCCCTTCTTTCATTCATGAAAGCAATGCAGTTGCATTATAGACTGGGAAAAATACTGAAAGACACAATCAAGCAACGTGTCCACCCATCCATCAGTTTTTTCTACACAAATCCCCCCAAGACAACCAGTGTTTTCCTGGCAGCCTTTGGTCCCCCGAACGGAAATGCGTGGTGCCTCCAAAAGCCAAACCAAATCACTGCCGTGGCGTCGGCTCCTAGCCACCCTCTGGGACACGGGAGCTGCTCGTGGGATCTCCGAGACTGCAGCTCTCTCTCCTTCACTGCTGCTGGAGGGTTTGAACCGCGACCTAGTGCTTAGCAGGCCAATTCATAACCCACTACTCCACCAGGACTCCTTTTATGTGCATAAGACATGATACTTATATTTGACTGTCGTGTAATGTTTTCACATATTACATGAGCATTACTTCAACACCATTCAAAAATTATTAGGACATTCAGATTTGGATGGCTGTTTCAATATTTCGCGTCATGGTCGTGTCACATATTATTGACCAGCGCCCTGTTGTTGTGGCACAGTGACTAAAGCATTTGGCTGCTAACCAGTCAGTCAGTAGTTCGAACCCACCAGCTCTCCTGAGGGTGAAAGGTATGGCAGTCTGTCACTTAAAGATCGGTGTCCATGGAAACCCCAGAGCCGTCTCTTCTGCCCTGTGGGGCCTCTCCAGTCAGTAGCCATGCAGTGGCACCGAGTTTGTGATTTGTGACTGCTGATGAAACGCCCCTTCTTGTCGCTAGGTCCCCCACTGACTGGGAGTTCCAGGAACAAGCCTTTGGCTACACTTGCTATTTGGCCTTGTGTCCGTTCCTCACCCTTCTTCCTCGTCCTGTGCCAGACAGGACAGCCTAGATCAGTAGTTCTCAACCTGTGGGTCGCGCACGACCCCTTTGGGCGTCGAACAACCCTTTCACAGGGGTCACCTGATTCATAACAGTAGCAAAATTACAGTGATGGAGTAGCAACGAAAATAATTTGATGGTTGGGGGGTCACCACTACATGAGGAACTGTATGAAAGGGTCGCGGCATGAGGAAGGTTGAGAAGCACTGTCCTAGAGGCTGCTGAGCCCCTTCGTTCTGGCACTACCTGCTCACTCACCCACCCCGTGGACGCACAGCACCTTGCGGATTTGTACCAGGGCTGCAAACCAGTTGGTTCCAGCTCAGCCCCTGCTGAGAATTTCCCATGTTCACCTCAGATATACCCAATGCATGCCTACAAGACCGCCGAGGTGCCCCTGGGAATCTTGATAAAATCTAGATCTGGGTTCCGTTTATGGGGGTAGAAATGGACAGTCTTGGCAGAGGGCTGAGCCGGATTGATCCGGTTTGAGGCCCTGGTCGTGTGAGTCCCCCCTGTCCTCTCGCAGCTCTGCGTCCTCTGGGCAGCTTTTCCTCTTTCATGGTCTCTCTCCTTCTGGCTTCGTTGCTTCCATGTTTACCTTGGGATTAGGGGTGGGAGGTATCTGTCTGAGAAAGGTTTTTTTGCAGTGGAGAGAAAACTCATATCCTGCTAATTATGGCCATTTTCACCTGATCTTGACAACAGGTGGATATCAGTGCTGACCAACAGCAAAGAGGAGGCATTGACCATGGCCTTCCGCGGCGAGCAGAGCACAGGGGAGAACAGCCTGGAAGATCTGACGAAAGCCATCATCGAGGACGTGCAGCGGGTCCCTGGCAATGACGTCTGCTGCGACTGCGGTTCGTCAGGTACCGTCCCCAAACTGGAGCCGGCCCTTCTGCCCTCTGCATCCCCAGGACGCTGATTGTAGAACTTCTCCTTACGGACACACTGGCCCACAGTCCTGCGCTGCACAGTCCCCCTGAGCGCCTGCCCGTGCTGCTTGCTTTGCCCAGAAGCTTTCCTCTCCGCTGCATCCCTCGGTGCTCGCCCTACACTGAGCCCCGCGCGCGGGGGAGCACCAAGAGCATTGTGGGGAGAGCCAGGCTGCGGCATCGCCGCTCACCGCTGAGTCCCTTTACAACTCTTACCCTCCATTCCCTTGTCCTGAGAATGGGATCGTGAACTTCCCTTGGCCTAGTGTTTAGGGCCAGTCCCCCCAGTGACCCCTCTCCTAAGCATGCCTTCAAACGGCACTCCTCATTGCTGAGGTAGCGACAGTAAAAGACTCCTGGAGGCACGGTGGGTGACACATTGGGCTGCTCACTACAGGGTAATAGTAGCCACCACACACTCTGAGAAAGACGAGGCTTTCTGCTCCCATAAAGGTTGACCGTCTTGGAAACCCACGGGGGCCATTCTCCCCTGCCTTCTAGGGTGGTTATGAGTCGGAATCATTTCTCGGGCAGCGAGTGTGTGTGTGTCTGAGGTGTTGACCGTGGCTGCCATTGTGGGAAATGACGGCGCTGAGAGAGAAAGGCGAGGCTTCTGCTCTCCTCCCCGAGCCCCCGGGGTGCAGGACCCCTCCATCCTGTAGAGGCCCTAGGAGTCAGAGTCAACTCAAAGGCAGTGGGTTTGGTTCGACCTTTGGATGCCACTGGTATTTTCATTTGAAGGCTGGGGAAAAACCTTGGTTGTCTGGGAGGGAATTTCCCTACACTGCACCGGGGGAGGGGGGGTTGTCCTAGCTATCTTGCTTTTATTACTGAATTCCCCCAGACTCTCTGTCAGTGAGCTACTGATACCATCCTCATCTTACAAACAAGGACATGGAGGTTATGCGGCTTGCCTAAGGTCACACATCTAACAAGAGTGAGAAAACCTATTGATACCAATTGCCATTTAGAGAATTTCTAGTCAACGGCGCCGACCCCTGGGCTGCAGAGTAGAACTGGCCCATAGGGTTTTCTTGCCTGCAATCTTCATGTAAGTGAATCGCCAGACCCTTCTCCCGTGGCACCAGTGGGGAGGTATGAACTGCTGATGTTTTGGTCAGGTGTTGAGAGCAGACAATCTGAACTGTCCAGAAAGAACAGAGTTGCTCCCCTGTCAGCATCTCAGACGAGGTCCAGGTGTCCGTGTACATGTGAGTGTGACCATGAGGGTAAGGCTGGGACATACTGGACACTCAGGTGTGCACAGACCTAAAGAAAACTTGACACAGAAAGCAAGCGAGCAAAGCCCTTGAGATTTGGGGACCAAAAGAAATTGGTTCTTGCAGTTGTGAGACCTGGGGCTGTAAACAAAGCTGCAGAGGAACTCACGGACGTCACTGGGTCCACGCCTGACGGGATCGTGTGCACTGTCGCAGAGCGTTTACTGAGAGCCTGAGGAGTTCTGAGCGAGTACCAACAGCCTTGGTCCACTGCCGTCAGGGAGATGAGATTGGGGAGCTGGAACCACACCTTTCTCGGGCCAAGGGTGGTTTCCTCACATATTCACAAGGGGTGGGGGGCACTGTTTCATTTCAGTATTGGAGGGAAATCTCTACAGATGCGTCTGATCCTGCGTTTTGCACTGTATCGAGCTCTTAATGTTCACATTTACATCTCAGACTGAACTGCAAGCAGCCATTCATTTCTTTAAAACCAGGGATGGGGGGGAACCTTTGTTTTGCCCAGGCCCATGTGGCTGTTTATACCATCACTTGAAGGCCCTTCTGGTCAAACATATAATTCACTGACCGCCTGTGGTGGCTGGAAGTATTTCTCAGCCCTCGGGGGTCATTCCCTGCTGTAGAGCTTTACCTCATATATTTTTTTCTTTTTAAAATCATTTTATTGGGGTCTCATACAACTCTTATCACAATCCATACATCCATCCATTGTGTCAAGCACATTTATAC